GAGCATTGTCTACAAGGAATGATTCTATGAGTATGACTGTGTAGCTGCTGCTTGACTAGTTTCTGGGACAGTTGTCTGAATTTTGACACAAGGTTCCAGATGTTAGGGTGGCACGGTGGCTCAGTGGTGAGCATGCTGCCTCACAGGGCCCCAGGTTCAATTCCAGCCTTGGACGACTGTCTGTTTGGAGTTTGCACTTTCTCCCTGTGTCTGGATGAGTTTCCTCCGAGTGCTCTGGTTTTTTCCACAGTCCAAAGATGTGCAGGTTAGGTGGATTGGCCGTGAGAAATGTGGGGTTACAGAGATGTTTGGATGGTCGGTGTGGACTCGATGGGCCGAATAACCTGCTTCCATGCTGCAGGGATTCTATGTTAGCGAAGAGAACATTACAAGCTCAACATGGCTGTGTTGGAGTTGTTTCTGGTATCTAGTTCGTTGCTAGGTGGTCCATCCAGTTTAAAATTCATTGTGGTTTGAGTGGCTTTTTAGATAATTTCAGAGGGCAATTAAGAATCAACAGTGTTACAATTAATGAAAGAAAGGTAGAAAGGCAAAGAGTTTTAGGACATAATTTCAGACCTTAGGGCCCAGGCAAATGAAAGTATGACTACCAATGGTGGAGTGTTTAAAATTAAGGATGTCCAAAATTAGAGGAGGTTGGATCTCAAAACATCATGGAGCTGGAGGAAATAAAAGAGATAGGGAAGGATGAGGCCATGGAGCGATTTGAAAACAAAAATGATCATTTTGAAATTGCAGCATTGCTTACCTGGAAGCCAATGCATGTCAATAAGTACAGCAATCATAGAGTCATTTACAATGCAGAAGGAATTCTCTGAATCCATGCTGACTTCCTGTGAACCAATTCAATGTTAATTCTATTTCCTCTCTTGATCCCTGTCACTCTGCAAGTTGTTTTATCCTTCAAGTGTCTATTCAATTTCCTGCTGGTGTTTCTGTTTGTGGGCAATGAGTTCCTGATCATTACTGCTTGCTGAGTTAAAGTGTTCCTCTTCACATCTCTGGCATATCTTTTGACCAAAACCTTCAATCTGTGTCCCCCTTCATCCTTCTACTATCAACAATAGTCACAGTTTTCTGCTGCTTCCCTTATCCAAACTTGTCATAATCTTGCACACTATTATCAAATCTCCCCATAATCTCTGCTCAAAGGAGAGCCCAGTTTTTCCAACCCAAGTTTGTAACTAAAATCTCTCATCCCTGGAACCATTCCGGTAAATCTCCTCTGCACCTCATCATGGGTCCTCATGCTCCTCCTAAAATGTGGTGGCCAAGTCAATGGGATTTGGTGCAAATTAGCTTAATGTTTGATTTGTAGGGAATGGAATAAGAATAGAATAGAATAGTGAAGACCCAATTAACAAAAACTTGAATAAGGATTTCAATAGCAGGTGCACTGGTGCAGGTCAGAGTTGGGTGACAGTCTCAGTAGTGTTGTGAGGATGAGATCTTATCAGGATCAGATATGACACAAAGTTTGTGAACAGTCTAAATCAGCCTCAGACAGTGACCAGGTAGAGCAGGGAATTGGTGACTCAGAAATGTAGTTTGTAATGGCTTCATTGTTCTGAATATTTAGTTGAGGGAAATTTCTGCTCATCAAGCCCCAGATATTGACAAGCAGCCTGACAATTTTGAGATACTGTAAGAGTTGAGAGAGGTGTGGTGAGGCAGAGTTGGGTGTCATCAGCCCATACGTGGAATCCATTGGTGTATTTTTAAATGGTGCCACCAAAATGAAGTATACAGATGAGAAATAAGAGCTGGTAGGGCTAGACCTTGAGAGACACCACAAACAATCTATCTGGAGGGGTTTATGAATAGGAAGGATTTAGAGGGGTATGGGCTAAATGCTGGCAAATGAGACTAGGTCATTTTGGAATGTCTGGTTGGCACGAACGAATTAGACCAAAGGGCCTGTTTCTGTGTTGTATGACTCTATGACAATGTTGCCAGATTGAAAAGAGAAATCAATGATGGTAATTGTCTGACTACAACTGGAGAGACAAGAGGGACTAGGTGAGTCCAGCCCTACCAAGCTGGGTAGTAGTGTTGGTGAGTTTGGCGTGGTGAACCATGTCAAAATCGGTATAGATTCAAAACCAGAGAAGGAATAGTTTATCCTGGTCACAGTCACATATGTTGTTATTTGTGACTTTGACCACCATTGGCCACCACATTTTAGGAGGAGCATGAGGACACATGATGAGGTGCAGAGGAGATTTAACAGAATGGTTCCAGGGATGAGAGATTTAAGTTTCAAACTTGGGTTGGAAAAGCTGGTGTTCTCCTTTGAGCTGTATCAATACTGCAATTGGAGCATAACCATAGATGTGCTAACTCTTCTGAGGTGATTGTGAGAGATGTAGTTTCTCATTCATATTCAACTTTATCCACAATCTCACAGAAGAACTGAAATCTCAGGATTTTTAATAGTACTTTTACGTATATGCACTTAATCTGAGACTGTTCATGCACATCTTAAGGTCGATGTGCTTTGCTTGAGGAGGAAACTGGAAATGGGAGCCTGCAAAACATGTTGCTTTGAGTCTGGATCTTTAAGCGATGACCTAAGCGCTGATGTGTATGCATGAGTTGCAAGGTGACATATGGTACGGTCCTGAAGTTTGTTCTTAAACTGGAGAGAAATAATTTATTCAATTATGAGTAAAATGCTGCAGATGATGAAAATGTGATACAAAAACAAGGGATGCTGGAGAAACTCAACAGGTTTTGCAGCATCTTTGGAGAGTTAATGTTTCAAGTATGTCATGACTCTTCTTCAGAACAGTTCTGGTGGGACAAACCTGATATTTGGGCATATCTGTTTTCTCAAGGAGTCCTAAATAAGGCATTAGGCTCCCCACTAGTGTACACAGGGGAAATGTTCATCTTAGGCAGCTCTCTGAATGTCTGAAAAATCATCTGACTCAATTTTCAACAATTTGGCAGGAGATGTTGCTGTCTACTTTTTAACCTTTGGGACCATGTGCTAGTTCAAGTCTGCCACTGCTTCCAAGCATTAAAGGATAGTGATACTTTTTTTTTATAAGAAGCACTGAAATGTTGAGCTTAAGTAAGCCAAGAACAACTTGTTTAGCTCTGTACCAAACCTCTTCATTTGTAAGAATTTGTTTGTTGATTTATGCAACGGTGACTGTGCCATAACTAGAAAAATCTTATTGCAGTTATTCAAACAGTGAGATCTGGAAAAGATAGACATGTGTCTTATGGGCAGAGAGGTTGGAAGCACATTTGTCCCATATAACTAATGAGGATCTAATCTCCTCTTCTTTGGCAGTCCCTCAGGGTCCAGGACAACTTCCTTCCATTTGGGGTGGGGAAGGGGGATTTCTTTGGTGGTTAAATAATTCAATCCTGGAGCCGCAGACTCCAGGGGAGGGGCAGGTGACATTTGATGAAGCAGGAGGGTGGGATGTTCTGATTCTGTGAACTCTTTCCCCTCCTTGTGCTTAGCCTCCATGTGCTCCACTTGGTGATACTGGAAGTGGTGGCATTTTTGTGGATACTTCTTCTTAAGTTTGTGCATTCTAGGGCAAGCAATTCCCATGCATTGGTGGGGATATTACATTTGTTTGGGGGGGTTTTCAGAGTGTCCTTGTAGCATTTCATTTACCCTCCTAGTGATCACTTACCACTGCCGAGCTCAGACCAGAGTTCCTGTTTAGGGAGTCCGATGTTGGGCCCACCCACAGCAGCTAGTCATACGTGACATTGGCCTGGGAGAGGATGCTTATGTTGGTATGCCTATTCTGCCAATGGATTTCCAGGATTTTGCAAAGGCAGCAGTGGTGATAACTCTCCAATGATTTGAGATATCTACTGTACATGCTCTATGTTTCTGGTGCATACAGGAGGGTGGGAGCATGGCTTCAATGTAGTGCATGAGCTTAGTGCTGGATTTGAAGTCCTGGACTCCAAACATTCTGTTCCTTAGGTTGCAATGGTTTATTGGAGTCAATGTTTGATTTCATTATCAATGTCTGCTTGCACCAAGAGGAAGCTTCCAAGGTATGGAAAATGATCCACATTGTCCAGAGGCTTGCTGTGCATTTTTATGTGTGCCTGATTGGGGACTCCTTGGGAAAGCTGATTTGCTGACATGTTGTGGTATCCACTCCACTTTCCTCTATGTGCCTCAGAGCCGTTGACTCCATTAACAAAAATCTATTCAATACTACCTTGACTAAAGTCAGTGACACAGTACTTTGTGGGGAAAAAAAATTCCACAGGGAGAGGGGTCAGTGGTTGAGGAGAAAGAAGCATGAACAATATTGTCTAATATTGGCTATGACATGTGAGATGAATTAAATTTAATCATCCAGGATGATGTGATTGCTCTGAATGCTCTATTTGGCTGCCCTTCTCAATAGACAGCCTCTGAGAGCACTCAGCCGCCCACTTCCGGTATCACTGTCAATCAGACAAAAAAGTGAATGGGATTGACCCGATGACGTTCTGGTCTGGCCCCCGCCCCCTCCGTTCTGATTGGTTCCATGGTCTAAAATATAGTCGTCAATGCTAGTTGCTTGAGGGCCCTTTCCCTTTTGAGGACGAAGAGGGGTCTTAACAAAATTATTAAAAGTGTAATCGAAAGCGCTTTTTTTTTTAAAAAAAAGGAAAGTGCGGGCCTTCTGGCTTTTTTTGTGTGTTGATTTTTTTTTTGTTTTGGTTGTGGGGACAGGCAGGCGGTTGGTCTGTACATCCGGGTGTGTGAAGCGGCTGTTGCCGGGCTTCGGGAGACAGGCCGGTTCCGTCGGCTCCGGCTCAGGCCAGAGCGGGAGAGGCGGCAAGCGAAGGGCCGAGTGTCCATAACCCCCACTTCCTCCATACCCCCTCCCCTCCCGGGAAGGAGCCTGCACTCGGCCTCCTGTCTTCGGGAGTCGGTCTTTGGGGAGGCGCCGGGGTCTGAACCCCCCCCCCCACCCCCCCCCTGCCGTTCCCCCCCCCCCCCCCAACCCCCCCCAAAAAAAAAACCTCGGCGCGGGCGGGTGGGCCGCTCTCCTTCCTCGTTCAGTCTCTCCACTCGGCCCGGACCTGGTGACCGGCAGGGCAGCCGGACGCCTTTTTCTTTCCTGCTCTCTCTCACCCGGGCAAACTTCCTCAGTCAGAGGCCTGAACTGTCAGCCTCGGAATCTCTCTCTGTCAGGTGTGTGTGTGGTTATTATGCAAAACATGGTCTAGCCTCGGTCTTTGTACCTGGTGAAGCAAACTACTTTTTTTTGTCCTATCTTGTTTATATCACGTTTTGTTTATGGCTTCCTACGACGTCAAATGAAATAGCTGGCCATTTGTTCCTAGTGTGCCTTGGCTGTGGTGAAGTCGGGTTAATTTTGTCCTTTTTTATTTTTGCAAGTTGGTTTGTTTCAAAACTGAAAATGTCTAAGGGAGAGCTGGTTGCAGTTGCTTTCTCCTAGTGGGTGAGGAGACAAACCTGCGCAATTGGTACTTTGATGTCTGTGCTGTACGATAGTGTAACGCTACTAGCGCAACAGTAGTTGATGGAATGGAAATTAAATTTCTTTTGTAGCGTTAACTGTGTTCCGAGCTAACTTAACTTGGGTTCATTAAGGTGCAGTAGCTTTAAATGTTCGAATTGACTGAGTTTAAAGCTTTGTGTTTTCGTTTGAAGGTACATGTTCACAAAGCCCTCCATGGCAGCCATGGATAAAAGGGAATGGATTGAAGAAAATGGAGAACCATTAGCTAATCTACCAAAAATCTTTGTTATGAAGAAACCATATCGATATTCAAAGGTATGAATCATGTGGTGATAGCTAGGATTAATATTTAAAATGCATTTCATGGAACTGATGTGGTTGACACCTTTAACTTTATTTTGGGTCTTACAGCTTGCAAGTATTTATTTTTGTTTTAGTAATAATGGGCCATACTTGTCAAGTTGATAGATCATGATTAATAGAACAGATTCTGTTCAAGAATTTGTCTTGGTGACTGTGTCCAGCTGTAGCAAAATTGGAAGATTCTGTTTAACTTGGTGCAGCTGAGTGGAAACAAATCAACAGCAATGACCAAAGAGTTGTGAGGTATGACTCAAGATCATTTTGTGGTGTGATGTCACGTAGCAGCAGTCCCTGTTCCACTGAACTGTGAAAGTATGGGTAGTGTGACCCACTTAACTGCTATCTTTTGATGCAAGTATCAGTCTTAACTTTCTGCTTATGATCTGAATACTGCTGGCTACACTTCAAGAAATACCAATCTCCAACTGCCCCTTGGAGCTGGTGGTAAACTGCCTTTTTTTTTGTAGTTCACATGCTGTTAGGCAAGTTTATTTTAGGATTTGATCTAGAAGTGTTAAAATGGTACAAGATAGAACTGTACAGCAGAGGGGCCCTTCAGCCCATGATACTGTGCCAAACATGACACCAAATTAAACTAATCCCTTTTGTCTGCTGTTGGTCCATATGCCTTTATTCCTTGCATATTCATGTCCTTGTCTAAAAGTCCTTTTTTTTAAATGCCTCTATATTTGCCGCCTCCTCCACCACCACCCTGGCAGTGTTCCAGACTCGTACTTTTTTTTAACAAAAAAGTTGCTCCTGGTGTCTCCTCTGAACCCCACCCCAAATGCATGCCCCCTAGTATTAGACCTTTCAACTCTATCTATGCATCTCAATTTTATAGATTTGTATCAGGTCTCCCCCCTCTGTTTTCCTTTGAGTAGCAGAGACTGAGTTTTTCTAGCCTCTATATTACTTAACCTCTAGTCCAGGCAGCATCTTGGTAAAGCTCCTCTGCGTACTCTCCAAAGCCCCTGCATCTTTCCTGTAATGTGGTGACCAGAATTGAATGCAATACTGTGGCCTAATCAACATCTTAAAAGCTGCAACATGACAGCCTGATTCTTGTACACAATTCCCCAACCAATAAAAGCAAGCATGCTATTTGCCACCTTTACCATCCTATCTACTTGGCTAATTGCAGGGAGCTATGGACTTGAACCCCCAAGATCCTTCTGTACATCAAAGCTGTTCAGAGTCTTGCCACTAGCTATATGTTTCCTTAACACTTGATCTCCCAAAGTGTAGCACCTTACTTAACCGGATTAAACTCTATCTGCCACTTCTCTGCCCATATCCTGCTGTGTCCTTTGACAAACTTCGACACTATCCCTAACTCCACCGATCTTTATATCGTCTGCAAACTTGCTAACCTACCCATCTACATTTTCATCCAAGTCACTTATATAAATCTCAAACAGCAGAGGTCCCAGTACAGATCCCCTGCGGAACACCACTAGTCATGGATCTCCAGCCTGGAAAATGCCACCAATACCGTCTTGCTTCTATAGGCAAGCCAATTCTGAATCCATGTGGCCGAGTCACTCTGGATCCCATGCATCTTAATCCTCTGGATGAGTCTACCATGAGGGACCTTGTTGAAAGCCTTATGAAAATCCATGTAAACAACATCCACTGTCGACCCTCAATCAGCTTTGTCACCACCTCAAATGCCAATCATCTTAGTAAGACATGACCTGCCCTGCACAAAGCTAATGCTAACTGGCCCTAATGAGGCCATGCTTTTTCCAAATGTGCATAAATCCTGTCCCTAAGAATTCTCTCTAATAGCTTTCCAACCACCAACGTGAGACTTGCTAGTCTGTAGTTTCCTGGATTATCTCTAGTTCCCTTCTTGAACAGAGGAACAACACTAGCCGCTCACTAGTACTCTGGGATCTCTCCAGTGGCTGGTGAGGATACAAAGATCTTGGTCAAGGTCCCAGCAATCTCCTGTCATGCCTTTCTCAATAATCTGGGCTAGATACCATCGGGCCCTAGGAACTTAGCCACCTTGATGCTCTTGAAGAGATCAACACCACTTCTTTCTTGATCTCAATGCATTTTAGCATGCCCCACACAATTCTCACTATTCTCCGTATTCTTCTGGGTGAATACTGATGCAAAGTGCTCATTTAGGATCTTGCCCATATTCTCTGCTTCCAAGCACAAGTTCCCTCCTTTCACCTTGAGTGGTCCTACCTTCTCCCTAGTTATCCTATTGTTTTTAAATGGATCCATAGAATACCTTTGGGATTCTCTTTAACCCTACTGGCCAAGATCATTCCATGCCCTCTTGCTCCCCTAATTTCCTGCTTGGGTGCTTTTCTTGTATTCCCCATGGGCCCTATCTGATGTTAGCTTTCCTTCTGTGTTTTTATTTCCCCTTTGTGACTAAATTCACAAACTCCCTCACTATCCAAGGGTCCCTTACTTTGCCTTCCTTATCCTTCCTCCTTAATGGAACATGCCAGACTTGAACTCTCGCCAGCAGGTCTTTAAATAGTTCCCACATGTCAAATCTGGACTTGCCTGATAACAGCTCCTCCCAATGAACACTCTAGTTCCTGCCTAACACTAATGTAATTTGCCTTCTCCCAATTTATGCCTTCCCTTGAGGTCCTGACTTATCCTTGTTCATAGCTATCTTAAAACTTAAGGGATAACAAGTTGTGGAGCTGGAGGAACACAGCAGGCCAAGCAGCATCAGAGGAGCAGGAAAGCTGACGTTTTGGGTCGGGACCTTTCTTCATTTTTGAAGAAGGGTCCAGACCCGAAATGTCAGCTTTCCTGCTCCTCTGCTGCCTGGCTTGCTGCGTTCCTCCAGCTCCACACCTTATTATCTCAGACTCCAGCATCAACAGTTCCTACTATCTGAGTGAGTTAAAACTTAAGGGTTGTGTTCACTTAACAAGATGTGCTCTCTCTGAAGGGTCTGTCACCTGGCCAGGCTGGTTAGACAATACAAGGTCCAGTATGGCCCCTCCTGTAGCTGGATTATCCACATACTGTTTCAGGAAACCCTCTTGGATGCCGCTTAACGAATTCCGCTGGGTCTAAACTCTTGCTCTAAGGGATTCCTGGTTGATACTGGGGAAGTTAGTCATTCACTATGACAACTATTTTTATTGCACCTTACCATAATCCGCCTATATAATTGTTCCTCAATCTCTTGGCTGTTGAGAGGCCTGTAGTATAATCCAATCAGTGATTGCTCCCATCTTATTTTTGAACTCTACCCATTTTGCCTCCGTGGATGTGCCCTCCAGGATGTCCTGTCTGGGTGCAGATGTAACATTGCTGACATTGAGTTTAGTTGTCACTGGGAACCTTTATGAATCCACATGAATGGTTTATCAAGTGTGACTTGGCTTAACTATTTGGTGTTTAAGTAGCCAATTCATTGGAGACTGTTTCATATCATTTTTGAATATGAATCATGAATTTGCATTTGCCAGATGAGGAGAAATTGTAGCTACTTCTAGTCACCCTTATTGATGTAAGACCAGTTTGTGTCATAATATGCCTGTTGAGCATCCTGTGCTTTGGAGTGCATTTACGCTGCAACCCTGTTTTTGCATGGAGCAGAATGACTTAAGATTGAATTTAAATAATACCCTTGGGGCTTTTGAATGTTAGTTGAATAACTTGTAAAGCTGAAGAGTTGCTGTATGAAGATAATGCTTAAGCATTTTAGCAGTGGGAATCCCTTACGTTAATATATTAAATTTTCTGGATTGGGAGCAAGTATGGGCAAATACAGAAAAAAAAATTGACTTGAAGCTTAAGTACAGTGTCTCAAAAGAAGCTGACATTGAGTTCAATTGTCATGTTGTGTGGCTTGGCTTAGCTAGTTGATGTTTAAGTAGCCAATACATTGGAGACTCTTATCTTTTAAATGATATAAAATGTGAATTTACACTTGCTTGATCTGTAGGATGTCTTGGATTTTGACTTTGGCTGTGGCATCAAAATAATGTTTTTATACATGAGAATTTGTATGCACTGTTATGTGCCAGTTTGTTTATCTTGATGTGTCATTCCAAGCTGTACAATTTCACACTTGGAATTGTCCTTTAGACTTATCTTTCAAGTTCACAGCTTCTTTTGGTAAAGCTTTACTGCATTCCCTCTTATGGACCAGACCAAACCCCCTCAAAATATATCAAGACGCGAATTCCTTTACTCAAAGGAAAGTGTAAGATTCTGTGTTCCAGGTGTGATTTGGTACACTACTAGGCTCTGAGCGAAACACTGTATTCTTACAGTTAAAATACAAATAAAACAAGAATTGGCATAACTTTAATTCTATTGAAATACTAAACATTGTTTAACTAATCAACTGTTCTGATATAGCATCCCATAAATATGCCCTTGGGAGCAGCAAATTTGTAAAACAGATCTTCCTAACATGCTATCTCCCTTCCAGTCTAGGGGAAAGGAATACAAAAGTAAGCAATCTAGCAGCAGGGAGAGAACTTTTGCTTTTGACTGCAGCAGAGGGAGCGAGCCACATTTAGCAGTTCCAACTCCAAAAACCCTAGCTTCAACAAAGTGAAACTAAAAGCCTGGGTCATTGTGAGCCTGACTCCATCCATTCATGCTGCTTTTGTCTTTAGTTTTTAAAAAAACATTAGAGCACAAAGCTGTTTACCCATTGCTTCTGAAGCAGACATTCCAGCACTGCTGTGACAACATGCAAGATGACCAGGACAGAACGAATCTCTGAAAGACACAGTACTGTTACAGAGATAGCAGGAACTGCAGATGCTGGAGAATCTGACAACAAGGTGTAGAGCTGGATGAACACAGAAATTCTGAAGAAGGGTCTAGGCCCGAAACGTCAGCCTTCCTGCTCCTCTGATGCTGCTTGGCCTGCTGTGTTCATCCAGCTCTACACCTTGTTGTCACAGTACTGTTACACCTCTTTTTAGCAAGAACATCCTGTTTCCT